TGTGTGTGTGTGTGTGTTCTCTCCATGGGCCTGCTAGCTCAGGTGGTACAGGAGTTCATGAACTGTTGTTGAAATACAGACGTGAGTTCGAATCCATCATGCAACTGATCACCACCATGCTCCATCATATTGCCTGCAGATTTGCAAAAGCCGAAGCTCAACATCAACTTCAACTGCAGTCTTCCCCCGTACTCGTCCTCGAGGTGTTAAAGGGGCTGCTCCTGCCTGGGGGGGTCTCGAAACTTTTTGAGGGGTCAGGATTCGGAGTTTGATCTTGCCCTACCATGATCCAAATGGGAGCTGTGGCAGAGCAACTACTGCTGGCATTGATTTTTTTTCTGTTTTTTTTTGGGCATTGATTGACAATGATCCTCCCATCTCTTAGCAATACATCTGCCCAAGTGTCTGAGCTGGCTGGAGTTCTGAAGCTGGACACGAGGAGGGGTCTGTAAGCTGTCACCAACGGAAGCATACGTCTTGGGACCCCAGACCAATTTCTTCTGTTAGCAGATCCCTGAGCTCATTTCAGGGGCATGCATTTCTCCGGTCCAGCGCGAGTCTCCATCCTCTGTCCTCTGTTTTCTAGGGCAGAACCGCGACGACCCATGAGGGGTGAGAGAGAGAGAGAGAGAGAGAGAGAGAGAGAGAGAGAGAGAGAGAGAGAGAGAGAGAGAGAGAGACCCAGGCAGCCCGGTTGATAGTCCAGAATGCATGCAGAACGAATTATTTTTTTAATTGCATACCATGGTTTGTTTAGTGGCTGTGCACACAAGCAATGCAATGTTTTTTTTTTTTTTTTTTAAAAGGAATAAAACAAATTTAAAATTTCAACACTCTCTGAGGTCTTCCAGGTGCAAAGTTCCTCTTCTGGTAGGGTGCTGGGTTGGTTAGGGACTGCCTGTCGGTCCCTTCTGGTCTTGGCCAGGGTGGGCCTCTTGGTCTCCCTCTCTCCCTCCTTTGTTGTTCTTTTTCGTTTTCCTAGATCTTAACTTTGATGTTCCATTCTCTGTTCTCTGTTCTCTGTTCTCTGTTCTCTGTTGCTAAACAGGTCAATGGCAGCATTATCCGGATCTGGATTGGTCAGTCAGAAGGTTGGAGCTGATGCAGGCATGTCAAGCCCGACAGAACAGGGGCTGGCATATTCCTCATGGAGTTCGAGACGCCGAGCGTGTAATTGATCGAGAGTGGCAAAGAGGGAAGAGGTGACGTGGCTCTGACGTCCTCAAGTTACCGATTTGGAAACATTTCCGGAAAGGGTAAATGATAATTAGCGCAAACCCAGAGAAGAAAACAAAGAGAGAGAGAGAGAGAGAGAGAGAGAGAGAGAGAGAGAGAGAGAGAGAGAGAGA